TTTCTCTCTCTCTCTCTCTCTCTCTCTCTCTTTTCTCTCTCTCTCTCTCTCTTTTTTCTCTCTTTCTCTCTCTCTCTCTCTCTCTTTTCTCTCTCTCTCTCTCTCTCTTTTCTCTCTCTCTCTCGAACAGAACAAGTGTAATTTTTATGCCAATTTTATGGCACTTCTTTCAGTGATATCTGAATTTATGTGTGAAAAAAAGCTTTCCTTTAAATTAGCTAAATATTTTTATTTTAGTAAATTACTTTTTTTTGTGTGTCCATAATTTAATATGGATATTTTATAAATTAGTTGATGATGATAATGACTTGATTGTGATTTGTGACCTTTTGTTCGGCACAATGTTATTTTGCTTTAGTCTCCTTTATAAAGGAGTCTTACCAAAAATATAGGTCAATATGTGATCGGCTGACCATTTCTGAAAGGCTTTTTTTGTGTCTTTTGTTTTACTTTGTTTTGAAATTTGTCAATGAAAACGTCCATATTTGACACAAAAACCTTTATATTATAAAGGATATAAAGTATATTTTTCTCGTTTCCAAATATCAAATAACATTTTTTTCGCAAGTACCTCATCATTTTACATATTAATAAAAAAAAGTTCCCTCTTAACGCTCGTGGACTTTATTTATACCGGAAGCAGCCTGTAATTTGTTGCCAGTGTGGTGATCACGTGACAGTCTATATGCGCTCTCCCTAGAGAGCACTTCCGGTAACGTTTCCTGTGTTTGTAAACTAAAAATTGTCCGACAAGAAAATATTGGGCTACTGTAAACCGAGAAGAGTAAGGTAAAACAAATGCGCACAGCCTGCCGTACTGCTTATGAAACATAAAACAACATTTTAAAGGAGATTCAAGGTTTTATTAGGATTGAAATGTGAAGTTAAATAGACCGTGAACTCACGCCCTGTTGTGCTGCAGGATGAATGGAGGAGTTTACATTAGTAATGTGTTTACAGCTCAGACCGAAGACAAATCAATTTCACTCAGATAAAGAGATTATACATATCTGAATTCGTGCACTTTGTTACTTTCAACCCGTTCAGACCTGAATTCTGTTCCAGACACAAATAATATGGCAGTGCTTTATCTCTACTCTCAATTCAGCTGTAGGCAATTTTAATTTTATGATTTAGCCATATATTATAGCATATGATTCTGTCATATATATATATATATATATATATATATATAAATGGTTACTTTTAATAGTTATTTCATTACAGCGGACATTGTTTGTGAACAGTAACAATTTGAGTAAATTGTTATTGGATTTGATAAGTTAATGAAGAACTTTAAATACATTTCATAAATTTTATAAAATTAATTTTAATAATGCTAATGATAAATTGTTGTACTCTCAAGTTGTTTTTAAATCAAGTGTTTTTAAGTGAAATGTATAAATATTGCATTTTAATAGTAGTTACATTTAAATGAATATTTATTATGAATTTCACTCTTGGGAGCAAGTAAAGCTAAACCATTATGTTTGTAAACGCATTAAAGATCATTAAAAGCTCTTTGTGGTTCAGACCTGCAATCTTTCGATCATGTTGCATATAATATTGACTGTTATATGAATCCGTGTACTTATGTCATATCTTGTGCTGTAAATAAAAATAAATAAATACAAGTGATGTCCACTGTAACATTCACTAGGTCTGAACGGGTTACTACTTGCTTTAATTTTGCATACATATATCATGGTTTCTAATAAGCAGTTTGATTTATTACCTAAAATTACAGGCTAAATTAGTTATAATGGAGTGTATTACATGCAATTGAGTTTTGTAAAGTCTTGTAAAGTTTGTTTTCTTTGGCTTGGTTCGCTTCAGACTGCAGTCTGTTTGCCATGTGATAAGACTGATGTGATTTTATTTTTTATCTCCTGGAATTAATTTAACCTTCAGGACCCTGTTGGTTGCCAAATCCCCTCAAGAGCCAAACGAATGGAAAACTCAACATACAATATTCACCCACTCACCTTGATCTTAATGTCGTTGCAAGCATGCTATGTTCGTTTTGAGCAGTGCAATTGCTTTCATTGTCCAGTGGCTTCCGTGCCTCATTTTGTTCATTCATGATTTATGGTTGTGTTTATCTGGATCTTTGAGGGTGAGTTAGTAAGACTAATGCACAGGAATAAGCGATGGAAGGAAAGAGGGTGGTTGAAATAAATCTGTTCTTTATTCCAATTAGTCCCAGAATCCGACCAACCAAATCCAAAATCAACAGGGCATAAATGCTCGGATGTATTCCTACCATTTCAGTTTGACAGAACCAATGAGAATCCACTCCACTCAGTTTCAGTTTTGACCTGGTTTGTTTCCAGATGTCATTTAGGGACTCTTGACACCAATCTGAAGCCAAACTCTTATGGCTTAAAAACACAGCCCTATAAGCCTACATAAACAAAGGCTTGGCAATGCAGACATGGAAAATGTCTGATTCTAGCGAATAAAAGCTTTGATTTGTCCACGGTTGACAACTTCTGTTAGTGGTGGGCTAGATGTGTGGCAACATCATAGACAAAGATGGATATTTCCCTGGCTTTTTCCCCCCCCCCCCTTCTGTTTCTAGGCTTGGGCCCCTGATGGTTGGGGTTTGTGTGGTCTCTAAACACTCTCCCTGCCCCGAGCGAAGCCCTCTGTACCCCAACACACACACATACACACACCACTGCGATGTCACACCTTTCCAACAGCTCAGTGCGAGATCACATGAAATGGGTCAGTGTGTTTTTTTTTCCTCTTCTTCATTTGCATTTTCTGCATTTGTCCACATTTGTTTGAAAAAGAAGGCCATCATTTTTTTTTGCTTGCCGTTTCTGCATATTAACTCTTTGTAATTCACTTCCACAGCGCGACTTGACACAAAACGTACAGAGATTGTACTCACAAAAGCTGTCAAGAACGTGTCTGGATCATATTTTGCATGATGAAAATTAAGCCATTTTTAGGGCCATTTAGGATTTTTTTTTCATGACAATTAAGCACATTTCAAATTGTTGTAGTATTAAAAATATCTATCTTTATATGGTTGAAGATTTTAGTTTACTTCAGTACACTTTTGCAGTAATGAGAATGACCTTTGTGAATAATACAGTACTGTGAATTGTCGTAATGCAAAAATCTGAATCTTAAATAGAGACTTTATTTTTGCAAAATTATTATTATTTTGCATAAATTGTCTATTTAGGATGATTAAGATATTATTATTGTTATTATTATTATTATTGTAAAATGACCTGGGCATGTTCTTGACATATTTGCATAACTGTGGCCTCTGAATTAATCTGACAAATCGTGACTGTGAAGAGTTAACTGGGTCACGTTTGTCAAATTTCAAGCTAAATTTCCAACTCATTAGATGAGTGCCTTTAGTGCCTTTTTGAACAGATGTGTATGTTTGTGGTTGTATTTCTACACAGGCTGGGTTGCTCGGCTGTGAAGCGGTGCTGTCCAGCATGGCACTCATGCAGGCCAGCTCCATGCCCAGCCATAAGAAGATGGGCTCTCATCTGGGCCAGGGACAGAGAGAAAACAATCACAACCAGGACACACACAGCCAACACGGCCACATGGTGCTTCCCTCAGGAGTCAGCTGCCCACCACTGGTAAGAGACAAAGACATGATTTGTGTTGGGAAAGAAAGTCATATTGGTTTGGAATGAATTTTTGGGGTGAACTCTTCATTTCAATTTTGAAAGTCTTCCATAGAATCCTGTAGCTAATGCTAAGGTCATGGGTTCAATTCCCAGGGAATGCATGAAATGATCAAATATGTCTTGAGTGCAATATGAATTGCTTTGTTTGGATAAAAACTACCAAATGCATAAATGTACAACTACTGTTCAAAAGGTTGGGATCCGTACGATTTTTTTTTTTAAAGAAAGAAATGAATACTTTTATTCAACAAGGATGCATTAAATTGATCAGTTGACAATAAAGACATTTATAATATTACAAAAGATTTCTTTCTAAGAACTTTCTATTCATCAAAGATAAAAACTCACGACTAGAGCGATGGCTGCTGAAAATTCGGTTTTGCATCACAGGAATAATTTATATTTTTAAATAAATTAAAATAGAAAACAGTTTTTTAAAATTGTAATATTATTATTTCATAATATTTCAGTTTGGCCGTATTTTTGATCAAATTAATTCAACCTGGGAAAGCATAAAAGCATTTAAAAATCTTTCCGATCCCAAACTTTTGAAAAGTAGTGTATGTTTAAATTCTAGAGGCTTGATATATATTTTTAGAAATACTTCTTAAACTGTGCACTGATTTAAATTAAACATTTACATTAGTTAACTTCATATTTTAAGAAATAATTTGCTTTCAAACCGTTGAGTTGTATACTGTTTTTGAACAGCTCATCCGCAAGGATGGAGAGTTTCACTCGTCCAGGCTCTTGGATGAGAAAGACATTCAAGTCAGCCAGAACGTGCAGCCAAAGAAGAAGAACAGGAAGTCTGGACTTCCCACCAAAATGAGAGAAAAACCCCAGGCATGCATTCAGTCTTTCTGCATTATTGCTCTGCGAGTTTGCCTGTTTATCACATTTACACACTTCCGCTCATATTCTGACCAAATGCTCTTTTCTTCTGTATGTGATGTGAAGGTGGAGATTCCTGACGTTAATGACGATAACTCACTCAGCTCTCAAGTGCAGAAGAATTTCATATGTGAGCACTGCTACAGTGCTTTCCGCAGTAGCTACCACCTCAAACGGCACATTCTCACCCATACGGGTACGCCACGAGCCTTTCTGCTCTCACACCATCTTACGTTTCATACAAAGAGTTGCATGAAGTAATTGTGTGCACATCTGTGTGTGTGTGTTGTTTTAGGGGAAAAGCCATTCGGGTGTGATATGTGTGACATGAGGTTTATTCAACGCTACCACCTGGAAAGACATAAGCGTGTTCACAGCGGTGAGAAGCCTTATCAGTGTGACCGCTGCCAACAGGTGAGACATGACAAACACAGGCGGTTGTATTCACAGGGAGCTTGCTGTTTGCCTATGACATGCATAAATGTATGTCTTTATTAGAGTAGTACAGCAATTTTTAGTGTCTGGCAACAAATGGGGGCTTTTTATGTTGGGAATATGACATATTTTGAAGTGAAACAGGATATTTAAGGAGCAAAAGCTTAATTGTGAATAAATTTGATCATTAGAAATAAGATAGCTTGCTAACTAAATAAGATGCTAACTAAAAAAAAAAAAAAAAAGTTGTGTAAAAAAAGATAAAGCACGATATTACATTTAGATGTTGGACAATTGAAGAGTTTTTTATTTTGAATGATTGATAAACACTGATAACTAATACATTGTGCACAATAAGACTAGAAATGTGTATTAAGAAAGTAAATACAGTTAGTTTTGCTTTCACGTTGATTTTGCCTTTATCTTATGACTGCTTTTATTGTGACAGCAGATTATTAACAAAATCATAATGCATATGCCTTAATTATGTAATAAATTTGACAATGTTGATTTCAAGCTAGTAGGATATTTTAACTTGCAAAAATCATGATCTGAGTCTGTTTTGGTCTGCAAACTGGATCTATACACTACCGTTTAAAAGTTTGAGGTCAATAATTTTTTTTATTTAATTTTTTTGACAAATTTTAATACTTTTATTCAACAAGGATGCATTAATTTGATTAAAACTGACAGTACTCTTGCAAAAAAATTATGTTTCAAATAAATGTTGTTCTTCTTTCTATTCATCAAAGAGTCATGAAAAAAAATCAGTTTCCACAAAAATATTAAGCTGTTTTTAAACATTGATAATTATAAGATGTTTCTTGAGCACCAAAACAGCATATCAAAATAATTTCTGAAGGATCATGTGACTCTGAAGACTGGAGCAATGATGCTGAAAATACAGCTTTGCATCACAGGAATATATTACATTTTAAAATATATGCAAATAGAAAACAGTTATTTTAAATTGTAGTAACATTTCACAGTATTACGGTTTTACTGTACGCATTTCTGATCAAATAGTTGCAGCCTTGAACATTACCATTAAAAATATTACTGACCCCAAACTTTTGAACAGTGGTGTATTTTTATACATACATACACAATGTAATTCATATACTTGAAAACAGTGATTACAGAAGTATGTAACCAAACAATAAACAGTAGTCACAACAAAAGAACACTTTAAATGGCATGCTGGTGCTTTTGGGAAAGTTTTGACACTGAGAATCAGTCAGTCAGTTCATTAAAAGCATGTCCAAAAGAACCATTTCATGTAAATCGCGTGTCTTCTCTTATCAAAAAAGAGGCTAACTCTGAACCACTTCCATCACACAGAACTTTTCCAGAACCGACCGGTTACTACGGCATCGACGTTTGTGTGCCGTGGGCATCCCTAAAGAGGAGAACCAGCCGTGCTGTGAGGGACGGCCGTATTCTCAGGACCCCTCCCAGCACTCGGCGTCCTGGAGCCCACTGCAGACAAACAGCAGCAGGCTGGCGGTGTGACAGCCTTCCGATCGCTCGTACAAACCACTTCCCAGCAAACACAATGGACTCGCCAACATGACCTGACCGGGGGTCTGAGCCTGTAAACTATTTAAAGACCCCAACGTGTCCAGCTCTGATCCATCCAGCTCAACCACATTGGACTCTTTTATATTGCTTAGACTCTGGGAAATAGCGTATTTTGTGTTAGATGGTACTGTGATCAGCAGGCGGGTTAGTTGTGCATTCAATACAGGCAATAATGATTTCTGGTAGTTTAGAAACGCTTCCTTTTGTAGTTCCCATGCAGGACTGTAGATTGTTGAGATTCTCAGTGTCACAGTGCGCTCACATTTACCGTTGCTCTGCGAAATTTCCAGTCATTTCAATAGGAATCTGCACAATCGGGAGTTTCGCATGAGGCCGGGAAAGTTCCCCATGCAGATTTAGCTTCTTTTTAAGTTGGTCACACAAATTCGCTGCATAGACCAACAGAGAGCTACTTGGTTTTAAAATGACTTGTACTACATGCATCACTACACTATTGACAATAGACAGTGGGCCTTTTTTGTCCACAAAATTTCACAGAATTTACGGAATTATGGAGAAGTCAGCTGTAGTGACAGCAGACACATTCTCATAGAATACATGCACAAATTTGTATACTAGTATGGCGATACAGCATTATTCAAATTAGTCAGAATGGCCTTATTTCACATGCAACCCTGCCCAAAACCCTTAATGTAGGGCCTAATTCACAGTACAGTAGTATTTAATGTTTAATTCATAGATTAATCAACCTTCTCGTATACGCTGCTGCCATCTGTCACTCTGCTGACAGCGTACCTTTACGTGTTAATTAATGATGATATTTAACCAAGCAGAGGTGTGCAGTGCCCGTCAGTGAGGCAGCCATCTTAATTAAAATTTCAGTCTTCTCTGATACAGCTGCATGCATGGGCTACAGATTAATACAGTGGCCCCAAAATGATGGAAGTGAAATATTAAAGTCTTGGGACTTCTTTCAGAGCGGCGTGGTGGTTAAACATATGGGCTGGTAACTGTAAGGCTGTAGGTTTACACTGTCCTAAAAGTGATCTTGAACTGTTATCATTAAGATAGTTCAGGATTTGAGTGTGTAATAAGTGCATTGACATTTAGGGGCTTTTCTGATACTAGATTAGTGGATAATCAATGTTGGTTTTTACAGTAAACCAAAATTATTTTTGATTTCCCTCCAGTATTGAATATTTGGTTATAGTGTATATTTATTTCCTTACGTTCAACATTCACAATCATGGTTCTTTTAAAGATTTTTAATGTTTTTGAAAGAAGTCTCACCAAGACTGCATTTATTTGATTACAAATACACTAAAATCATTAATATTGTGAAATATTATTACAATTTAAAATAACTGTTTCCTATTTGAATATATTTTAAAATGTTATTTATTCCTGTGATGCAAAGCTGAATTTTCAGCATCATTACTCCAGTCTTCAGTGTCACACGATCCTTTAGAAATCATTCTAATATACTGATTTGCTGCTCAAGAAACATTTCATATTATTATCAATGTTGAAAACAGTTGTGCTGCTTAATATTTTTATGGAAATGGTGATACGTTTTTCAGGATTCTTTGATGAATTGATAGTTTAAGGAAACAGCATTTATTTGAAATAGAAATCGTTTTAGCGTTCAGTTTAATGCTTCAATTAATAAAAGTATTCATTAATTTACAAGTCAAATAATTTTGGACTCACAATCATGGCAAAGGAAATGTGACTCATAAATGTGTCAAATAATTACTACAAATTGCTACAAATGTCACAGAAATTACAACTTTTATACATTTTGCTGACTTTTAGTCATTCTTTTTAAATGGAAGATACAAAAACAAGTGAGTTAGAACAAAATACAGCCTTTCATGGAGCTGATGAAGATTAATTAACCAGCTTTTTTTTTTTTTTGGCCATGTTTTCACAAAAAGAATGACTGTCACCGACTGCTGATGGCAGACCGGGAATTCACAGCATGTTCTTTGACCTACTTTTCTGTCCAAATAGTTCATGCATATTCATGTGAAAATTTCACTTTTATGTGCAACAGCACAATTAGTTTCCTTTCAGCACTTTTGCAGCCCTCACACAGAGCACACAGGAAGTTGAGAAATGATAAATTGCACCCTCATGTTATTATCTGAATGCTGTTGGGTTTAATGAAGAGAAAGAAATCACACAGATACAGCATCTCCTGTGTTTTCTGCTGTATCAACATCAGGATGCCATCAAAAGCTGCCATGAGGGATGACATTTTAGCACTAGATAGGATCTAACCAGGTTACACCACAGTTTGCAATTTTATATATAAAAAAATATTTTCATTGCTCTGGGCATGTGTGTGTGTGTGTGTGTGTTCACTACTCAATACTGCATGTGTGCACTTGGAGGGGTTAAATGCAGAGCACAAATTCTGGGTGTGGGACACCATACTTGGCCTCACGTCACCTTGATATATGTAATTGTATATAACTATAGTGGAACCTGTTATCTGTATACCCCTCCATTCAAATGTTTGGGGTCAGTGTGATTTATAAAAGACATTTATAATGCAACAAAATATTTTTATTTCAAATTTATTTGAATCATTTCTAAATTTTAATTAATGCTGTTCTTTCAAACTTTCTACTAATCAAAGAATCCTGATCAAATGTATCACAGTTTCACAGACAAAAATATTACACCCGTGGGCTGAGAGCACTTAACACACTCGCTCTTAAAGCCAAGGCGGACGAGAAGAGATTCTTAGACATGGCCGTGCTACATTTATACAATTGGAGACCCTTAAAACGTTGTTGAAGGTCCTAAAATGGCTTCTTAGCACACAAATGTTGCACATCACAGACAAAAATATTAACTGTTTTCAGCATTGATAATAATAAGAGATGTTTCTTGAGCAGCAAATCAGCATATTAGAATGATTTCTGAAGGGTCATGTCACACTGAAGACTGGAGTAATAATGCTGAAAATTCAGCTTTGCATCACAGGAATAAATTACATTTTAAGATATATGCCAATAGAAAGTGGTTAGTTTAAATTGTAATAATATTTATTTTTACTGTAATAATATTTTATATTATTGTATTGAAATATAATAATTTTATTGTGTTTTTGATCAAATAAATGCAGCCTTGTTGAGCATAAGAGACTTCATTGAAAAATATTAAAAAATATAACTGTCTACAAACTTTTGAACAGTAGTGTTCACGATACACGTTGTAACTACTTAAATTAGTCATTGATTGTGGAAAAAATGCAAGACTTATTTTGAAAAAGGCTTAATCATCATATCCATGATGCAAATTAAAAACAATACATATGTTTTAAAAATGTGTTTGAAGATTCTTTTGTCAAACCCTTAAACTCTGTTTTACGAGGGAAACCCAAAGTGCCGGGACTGGCTCAGTTGACCAGCGCCTCATTGTCAAGATTTATCTCGCTCGAGAGTCATCCACATTCCTGATGACAGGACGAATGCCTCGGCATCCTGCCGAGAGCATTAAAATCACTCTCACGCTGAAGCACATTTCGCCTCGACAGATACATTAACATACACTGGCCCCGCGCTACTCCATCAATCTGCGCTTGTTGGGACCCACCATCGCTGCTTCGGGCCTCCCTGTAGAAGCCCACAGGCCCGACTCGGGCAGTGGTGGCCATTTTTGAGTCAGGGGTCTGTAGATGATATAGTCTAGGCCACAGGAACCTTTCAGGGGCCTCAATGCAGGTCATGAGAACTTAACTTCAACTACAAAGCCTACACTCAGAAATTGTTAGTAAATTTCACAAATAATTAGAACGTGCAAGTAACATTGAATTAAAGATGAAATGTTGTATTTTCTTGTAAAACATACACCGATAATCTGTTTTATTTACTTTGAAAACTTTCAAAAATAATTTTTACATTGTAGATGTTGAGTTTATTAGCTGTTATTTAGTGTTTCTGCTCTTTTTATCACTAGTCAAGATCCTTAATCACAAGACTGCCGCTAATAGTGCTATATTTTTTTTTTTGCAAATACCAGATTAATACGTAACTGGCCTCTCTAAACATGATATATCTTTGATGGCTGCTTTTTGTTGTACTTGGGGCCTCAATGCAGGTCATGAGAACTTAACTTCAACTACAAAGCCTACACTCAGAAATTGTTAGTAAATTTCACAAATAATTAGAACGTGCAAGTAACATTGAATTAAAGATGAAATGTTGTATTTTCTTGTAAAACATACACCGATAATCTGTTTTATTTACTTTGAAAACTTTCAAAAATAATTTTTACATTGTAGATGTTGAGTTTATTAGCTGTTATTTAGTGTTTCTGCTCTTTTTATCACTAGTCAAGATCCTTAATCACAAGACTGCCGCTAATAGTGCTATATTTTTTTTTTTTGCAAATACCAGATTAATACGTAACTGGCCTCTCTAAACATGATATATCTTTGATGGCTGCTTTTTGTTGTACTTAATGGGAATTCTTTAATTTATCACCATTATCTTTTGCAGTAGATCAAGTGTCTTTATGAATCTGCTTCGATATTGAATGATAAACTTGGCGGAAAAGCCTGAAAAAGTTTTTTTTTCATTTTTTTCATGTGGATTAAGTGATATTAAACATTCTCCTTATTGATTTCTTATTCTCATTTTAATTTTTGCACATGGTGTGATTTCTGCTCCCAGTAACGGGGTAATGGCTGCTGAAAATTCAGCTTTGCTGAAATATATTTAAACAGAAAACAGTTATTTTAAATTGTAATGATTTTTAACAATATTACAATTTTTACTGTATTTTTTATCAAATAAATGCAGCCTTGGCAAGCATTAGAGATTTTCAGAAATATTTAAAACTATCACTAGCCAAGATTCTAAACCACAAGCCTACTGCTAAAGCTGCTGTTTTTTTTTGTGCAAATACCAGATTAAAACGTAACCAGCCCCCCTAAACATGATATATCTTTGACTGCTACTTTTTCCCTGCGTGAAGTTGTGCTTAATGGGAATTCTTGAACTTATCACCAGTATATCAAATGTTTATGAGCCTTAACAGTTTTGCTTCGATACTGAATAAGGCAAGACAGCTCCTTTGCCATTTTCATGTGGATTAAGTAATATTAAACTTTTCCCCTTTTCACTGCTGATTCGCTTTTTTGTTGTTGTTGTTGCACAGGCGTTTTCTGCTCCCAGTTGTGATTTGTTTATGAACTCTATAGAAAAATTGATTAAACTAATAAAGATTTGAATATTCGCACCTCCCTGACCTTCCATAAACAGCTTGTGTCATTGTTTCCGCACTGAAACGTTTATGAGTCCTGTTTGTTCAGAGAGAAGCATAACACATAGTGCGCAAGTATGCAATATGCCTCCAGCAGAGTTCACACTGCGACTGGCATGCTGGCGTGCATGTTAAAAAGCCCTAATGCAATTTAAAACTATCACTAGCCAAGATTCTAAACCACAAGCCTACTGCTAAAGCTGCTGTTTTTTTTTGTGCAAATACCAGATTAAAACGTAACCAGCCCCCCTAAACATGATATATCTTTGACTGCTACTTTTTCCCTGCGTGAAGTTGTGCTT